AAACCACGCTGAGACGCTCGAGGATGAAGTGATTGGAATTGAATGGTTAAAGGTCGAAGGTAACCTGCTGACCCTGACCTGGTGACCTCAGTCACATCCAGTTCCACTTGTTATTAGTTATGGGCTGTTTCTGAATGTTGCTTAGAACAAATAACAATTCATTTCTTACTTTAAACCTTTTAAAGTTTATTTGGATGATGTGTGTAATTCAGTATGGAGCTTGTGAAATGGTTTCACACACACATCAGATGAAGAAGATGAAGTAGTTGCAGAGCAGAGTCGTGTTATTGTTACTCTGTCATCGCTGCAGTTTGAGAGTATCAGTAATTTATTCTTTCAGTTTTGTTTACGTCACGTGTCTTCAACACGCCCACTGAATCCTGCTGTCACATCGGCTCACTCCGACATTATCCAGAGTTTTTACGACGGCCACAGAAACTCTGGAGGAAGTCTGGAAGCCGTCTCTCAGACATTTGTGTCCTCACATCCAGAGTCTGACTCTTTCTCTCTTTTATCCAGATGTGGTTTCTGCTACATGGAGGCGGAGCACGTCCCGGCAGGCATCTACAACGTCATCCCCACCACCTTCCTGCCCAAACAGGAAGGACCCTTCTTTTTGGACTTTGCCAGTACCTTGCCCGTCAAGGTGTCCCAGCTCCAATGAAGATGGAGCTGGGGTGAGGACGAGGCATCGATCAGGACGAAGATACTTGTCAGGGCATCAACGCGTACTCCTGGTGTTTCTGCCTGAATGTGACACGATGCCGAGGCCTCGTTAAAAAACCCAAAGAGCCCAGAATGTGACTGGCAGCCTGAACTAAACAACGTCTCAGACAGCCTGTCCCCGTCCTCTCAGGCTGACGGACAGATTGTGGCCCCAACTTCAACGCTGACTTGATGTCTCACTGTTACGTCCAAGAAATGAATTCTTAATATGGAGACATTAACGGGATCTTCAGTGAGGAGCAGTGTCAACGGTCGAAGAGTTTTGGGGCAGAAAAAAAAACTTTGGCAAAAAAATTCAACGGTTGATGAAAGTGGAACTTTCTGTCTTTACACAATAAGACAGACGTGTGTAACTCCACCAAATGTATTCATCAGCATGGACATTAATCAATGAGACAACAGTTTTCATGTGTTCACATCCTGGACTTGACTCGATGCGGAGAAGCAACAGGGTTGAAATGAAAACCAGCTCCAGACCAAGAGCTGAAGAATCGGCATCGAAGCAAATTCTTTTCAGGTTCAGTTTTATTTCTGCGATGAGCATCTCACGTGTACAGAAGTTAATATTCAGTACTCGCTCCTGGAATATAGTGATCATGAAAATAACTCTCTGCTCAAAGCTTAGCTTTAGAACGTCCCTCAGTAGAGCTCATGCTTCTCACCCTGGTGTCACGTTTCCATCGCTGCTCAGCCGAGCTGATAAAAACCCGTCAGAGTCATTTGACCCCGATGATGATGCTGTTTGAAAAAAAGGGGCTTGAGATGCTCATCGCTGCGAAACGACTTGAACAAGAATCAGCTGCTTGATTCCAATGAAAACATTCTCCCTCAGTTGTTCCTCTCTCCTGCTCAGACTTCCTGTCCTTGAATAATCTGAGGAGTCGTTGCCAAAACCATAAAAGCAGTTTATTTATTGAGACTCTGACAGAAAGAAGGGACGCTGTGTTTCCTGTGTGTTTCCTCAGTTACCTTGAGGGTTGTGTTTTTAATTCTCAGGAGCAGTGCAGCAGAGCAGCACCACAGGGAATCCAGTATGGCAGCAGTTGAATGATGTCACTTCATGCTGTCTGTGGATGTGAGAAATATCAGCTGATGTCAGGCGTCACGTCAGGACTGCTTGAGACAGGTACCACACACTGTATGTGTTCTACCTGTGTGTGTGTGTGTGTGTGTGTGTGTGTGTGTGTGTGTGTGTGTGTGTGTGTGTGTGTGTGTGTGTGTGTGTGTGAGTGTGAGAATGTTTTTAAAAGAAGAAATTTAAATGTTTTGCCAAGAAAACTTCCTCTATTTACTTTTCTGTCACCAAACTGCACTTTTTAAATTTATGTTTGTTGTCAATTAGGAATGAAAACGTCACTTTCGATTTGCGTCCACGTTAGTGGAGCAAATCCGATCGCGGTGCACGCCAGGTGACATTATGCTTGATTTACACAAGCGAGGAGATTCCATGTCCTCACAAACTTTCTGTGTTTACTGAACATGATGCACGTTCCCCAGCTGCTGAAAACAAACCTCAGGCTGCTGCATGTTGCCTCTTTAACAGTCTGCTACTCCATTCATTTAGTTTCAAGCCATAAAATCAAATTTTGGAAAATGTCCCTGAAAAGATTTCTAGATCTAAATTCTGGATTTAAAATGTAAATCATCAAAAACGATCAATGTATTTGTTGATTTTATTTTCAACTGACTATTCGATTGATCAACTTATTGTCTCAGCACGAGAGTCTGCGTCAATTCTAAAGAGAATCTGGACAAAATGACATTTTCTAAATATTGCTCAAGAAAGAGAATTTAATTTTGTTTCCAAAAGCTTTGTTTTTTATTGAGTTTAAAATCCAGGAGTCACGTTGTGGCTCAGAAACAAACCCTGACCTGTTTCACAGGAATGTGTCGTTGAGACAGTTTCCTCACGGTCAGATCTGGTTTCCACATGAATGAGAGATAACGAGTGTTAAAAACAAAATATATCTTTAAATATCCTTTGCCAAGCACTTCTTCTTTAAAGAAGTGTGAAAACGAGTTCCCCGTCTTTGTCACTATGTTCAGTTAAATAGATTTTAGTTGGAGACACGTTCAGCGGGACAATCGAGCTGTCGTATGAATGATGATGTAGTGTTTGCAGAACTTGCACTAAATGTTGGGATGATGGATTTGTTCAAAAATTGAATACAGAAAATGAAATCTGCTTCTGTCTGTGCTCTTTTCATTCACTCACGTATTTAAGGTAAAGGAACTTTACTAGATTAGATCCAGACCCATTCAACGTAAATATTCAGATTCAGTTCTTTTCTGCCAAATCAACAAACTCAAAACCAATCATATGAAATAAATAAATAAATAAAATCAGAGCCCAAAGAATGAATTCATTAATCATAAACTAATATTAAAATGACCGAGCAGGTCACGCTTCCCCCGGATGGTAATTACAGAATAAGGACAAATTAAATTCTGTGAGAAGCCCATTAAAAAAAGTTTCATAATAAAATCCAGAGAATCTGAGTCAGGAACGTTACTGATTGCTAACGTCTGAGAATATTCCGCACACGCACCAGAGTGTTTGATTTTTTTTATTAATTTAACTTTTCATTCGTAAAAAGAAGAAATATGTTACAATGTGTCATCTTTCTTTCAGAAGTTACACAGCAACACGTCAACAACGTACACGAGCAAACCCCCGCCACGGTCACGCAAGACCTTATGACGCTGCCGCAGCAAAGCTCCAGAGGTTATTGATTTAAACAAGATTCAGTTTTATTTATTATGAATTCAACTTTTCATTTCTAAGAGAAACAGAAGTCACATGCTCTCGCTTTAAAGCAGCACACTCTTTCAGTTTAGTCGTAACAGGTAACACTTTACTTTGAAGTCCCACTGTTTAGCATTTAGAAATAGAACATTAAATTAATATTATTAAATTCAACCAAATTTAAATTGAACTATTATCACAGCTTTGACGTAGCTTTGATTATTGATCTGTTTATAAAGTCTTGTGTTTTTGACTCAGATCTATGTAAGTCAGTGCTAAACAGAGGGACTTGAAGTCAACGTTACACAATCACATTCAGCCGTTTGTGTGTATTTATATTCTGCAACTGGGACTTTTCATCCTCAGGACACATTCTCAGTCACTGTGAATATGCACCAGATATCTTAATGACATGAAAAGCTCAAACCAACGTGAATTACTCGTCGAGTAGCTGCGTGGAAAAAATTAGCAGCTTTGACGTTTGAAGGATCACGACGGCGAAGCCTGAACGATTCACACACACACACACAGGTTGAGGACGGTACGAGCGGTGGAACAGGGAGCGTACAGCAGGACATTAAGAGACCAACTTATTTATTGGACATCTCGTCACCTCTGTGGTTTACAGCCATCGAACACCAATCATTAACATTGATGCAGCAGGTTTCAGATGATCCTCAGCTCAGTGTTCGTGCGCAGGCAGCAGTTCAGCTGTTAGTGTGACAAAAATAACACAAACAAGATTTGTACACCATCGCCAACACATTTTCAACATGGTGGAGTTTGGAAAGGTACCAAGCTCGTAAACGTCTCTTAATCGTTCATCGTCGAGGCTGACGACTTCTGTTTTGTCCGTCAGACTCCTTTCACCGTGAACCCGGACTGCTCGGCCTTCTGGGAGCAGCCGTCTATTTTTTTCGTGTTGTCGGAGCGAGGGCGTCTCAGATTCAGGAAGCTGAAGCGTGCTTCCAGGCTGAAGATTTTCTTGGTGACGGGAACCGAGCTGCTGCTGCTGCTGCTGTTGTTGTTGGTGGCAGGAGCGTTATCCAGATCCCCCTCTGCACCTTCTGCACGCTCACCTGAAATTCAATCAACCGTTAATATCGTTACAAGTCTTTAGGCCTAAATGTAAGATGTCATTCGTTCTCTTGATTATTCCTTCTCCTTAGTGAGTCGTTCTCAAGCTCTTCTACAATATTCTGTCACTTTTTATAAACAGTGCAGAGGGAAGTTAGAAAACCTTGTGTTCATCCTACCTGGTTTGTCTACACAGAAGGTTTTTATTTGTTTATATATAAGTTTGAATGATTTGAACTGAACTGACACAAGTTCCCATCTTTTCAAAATAAAAGCTCCATATGAAGCATTGCAGCAACTAAACACTTCAAATCGAAGGGTTTGATGGGACGACTTGTTCAGTCCAGTGAAATGTTTTCACGTTTGAAAAAGAAAACATAAAAATAATGTTTGTTGCTGAAATGAAAAGTCAAACTAAACTGACGGAGAGAAAACTGGAGAATCATTAATCTGAGTGAACAGCTGCTCTGAACCCAACTTTGTTCTGGACGACGTTTCATCTACGACTCGCTGTCACGTTGACTAATGCGCCCTCGAGTGTTTTCCATTCGCTCACCTCTCTCCAGGTCGCACTCAGGCGACGACGCTCCGCTGCACTCGCTGCGAGGCCCGAGCACCGGCGAGATGAGGCTGAAGTCCGACAACGACACGGTGCTGGGAAGATCCAGACTGCTGGGCCTGGAGGGAGGAGCAGGGGAGGAGGGCGAGGACGAGGGAGTCGGAGATGGAGAGTCGGAGGAGGACGTGTACGAGGAAGAGGAGGAGCTGGCGAAGGTGCAGGGCGACATGAGATCCTGTGGGCTGCTGGGAGTCGAACCCAGGCTGCAGGTGGACTGTGTCTCCGAGTCTTCTTCAGACATGATGCTGCCGCCGCCGCCACACACGTCATCATCGAAACACACCGACGCCACTGCAGGAGGGAGGAGACGGACAGAAAGAAGGCGGAGTTATGAGAAGGGAGGAGGACGGAAAGGTGGTAAAATGGGATGAGATGGGAAAGGAAGAAAAGGAAGGATGGAGGGAAACGTGTGCAGAGGAGGGAAGAAAGATGAATAGAGTGAGGAAGGAAAGGAACAGAAAGGTGGTGATGAAGAAAGGAAGCGTGAGAAACAAGAGAAGAGGAGAAACAAGAGAATGAACAAAAGATGGAAAGATGTGGAGAAGAAATAGAGAGAGGAATCTTGACTGTCGCATCACATGATATAATAATAAAATCACATTCAACTGGATGTCTCCACTGCTCTGGGGTTACCGTGGCAACACCATCCTATTTATTCCATATTCAAGGCAAAAGCCAAGTTTCTGTGTTACAGACTCTAAAAATAAAAACTGTATCAATGAAGTTATATTCGTAAAGTCACAAATCAAACTGGTAAATAAAACTGGGCCGAGACCAGAACCCTGAGGAACCCCTTAGTTAACTCTGGTGCAGAGGAACGTTCAACCGATCTGTTAAATAAGATTCAAACCAGCTTAGGGTGGCAGGGCTAAGAGATTGATTTGAACTTCAACTCCCAGGGTGCATTTGGGTCAAGAAACACCAGTCATCAACCTTGAAATTCAATTTAACGTGTTGATCAAAGATGGAGGAAACTTAAAAAAAAAAAAAAATGATGGAGCAGATTTTACAATCGACAAAAAGTAATAAAAATTTAAAAAATATCACAAAACTGATGTTTTACTTTACTGAGACACTTTTTCTGAATTTATTATTTTCTCAGTTGCAATGTCAGAAATGTTCAAAATCCTAAAACCCCAAAATATTCCACAAAATTAAAGAAACCAGTAACTGGAGAAGCTGAAACCACAAGTTCATTTTTAAGGTTTTAGTGGAAACTGTGTCTGGAGAAGTTTCTTCTTATTGTTTGTTCTGGTGAAGAACGATTCTCACTGAAGCTTCTGGGTTTTCTCCCAGTTCTAAATCTTTTTTATTTCTTTGCAGTGTTTAGTTTTTTGAAATGTGTTCGACTGGTGATTTATCTATTTGCTTGTTGTCTCACACTGCAGAGCATCGAGTTCTCTCTGGCACCGAATCAAAGACCTTCGACTTGATAATTTGAAAGAAATAGTTCAAATTAAACTCAATGGAACTCAACTGTGATTGTGTAAGTTTGTTTTCTCTGAAGTCCTTTAACAAACTTTCCAAGAATCACAACCAGGAATTCAGAGCCGCGGACAAGAAGCTCGTTGTGTGTTTGACTTTTCTCAAATAAACGAATTAAAGCTCTTTGAGTCCGTCTCCAATCAACAAGTGTCAATCACAGCTTCACAGGAGCCGAGCTCTGATCTGATCCTCTCCGCCAAACAACTAAATAACAAGTTTACACAATCAGCTTCTGCTCCAGAAATAAAACCGGTTGATTCTGTTGCTGAACTCTAAAAGAGTCCGATTGTTCTTTTAACTCATCGGGAGAATCAAGTTTATGAAACAAACACGTCGCACTGCACTCACTGGATATTCCATCAGACTCCATTTTGAAGGTGGAGATGTCGTCCCCGGCAACGCTGTCGCCCTCGGCGCCCACGCCTCGGCCCCGCGGGCCCATGGAGGAGCTTCGCCGTCGCTCGTGGATCTCGTCAGAGATCATCTCCAGGTTCCTGAGGGCCGTCTTGTACTCGCCTTTGGCCTGAGACAGCTTGGCCTGTCGCTCGTCCACGTTCTTTTTCAGGTTCTGGAGGAGAGAGAGAGGAGGAGGATCAGGATGACGTCACAGACTTGTTTACGTTTTAGCTGCACTCAGATATTATCTGGAGTTTTTAACGAGGGGCCCGGCCGAGAGAGACTCAGGAGAAACTCAGTACATCTCTGAAGAAAGCTGATGTTAAAGCTCTAAGAGCGGTCGCCACGTACCTCCAGCTGCAGATAGTACTTCGCCTTCATCTCAAAGTAGGGCCTGAGGAGGAGGAGGAGGAGGAGGAGGGGGGGGAGGGGCAGTGGTCAGGAGAGAAAAAGAAGAGATTAGATCAGAGGGGACAAATACAACGTAACCCAGAAAACAGCAGCCCACACACCATCACCATGGCAACCTGGGGGAGGGGTGGGTGATGTTGGGTGAGCGGTGCAGAGCGGGACGAAGTCCCTGCGGAGGCCACACGAGGCAAAGCTGATAACTCAGACTGGATTCATATTTATATGACATCACATCTGTCTGACTCTAATCCACTCGACCTCGTTCTCTCTCCAGCGGCAGCCATTTTAAAGCTGAGGCTCTTACTTGGACTTGTTGATGGTGCGTTTGAGTTTTTTCTCCAGCTGCTTCATGCGACTTATCGCCGCCGTGTATTTTGCCGCCGTCTCCTTGTGAGCCAGCTCGCTCCTCGTCTTTGCGAGCTCCGCCTCCATCACCTGTGACGACCAATCAGAACCCACCGTCAGATGAAACGTATCAACTCTCTGTCTTATTAAGAATAAACAAACCGTGTCCCGTCAGTTGAGGGTCGCATGTTTGTTAAAATAATAAAGTGTTGGTTAAGAAATGTCCCCCCTCACCCGCTGGGTGGCGTGGTTCAGCATCTCCTGCCACGCGGAGTCAAACTGGCGGTTGTCCTCCTCCAGGAGCCTCTGCTCGGCCAGGGAGATGGTCTCCTTCGCCGCCCGCAGAACCTCGGTGGCTCTCTGGAAGTCCTGCGTGGCCTTCTGGGCCTCCAGCTGCGCCTGCAGGACAGAGACTCGTTACCAACCGGAATAATGACGGAGCTGGTGAGTTTCTTTGTTCGGGGATCAGAGTGCAGCTGGACTGAAGAGTGTTTGTCTGCAGGTTTATTTTCAACTTTCCATTTTAAACAGTTTCGCAGCACGAACCTCACGAGACGTCCCTGACATCATCGTTCATGTGGAGCCGTGCAGCTGAGGCTTTACACGCTGACGCACAGTGTTCATTGTGTGAGCGAAGCCTGACCAACATCACGTGTGTGACATCTAATAGAGCAGCACAGGAGCTGAGCTGTGAACTGCACATTGATCAATGTTGGATTCAGAAAAAAATACAAATAACAATTGTATTTTTTTTTTTACAGGCCTGGAAATAAAAAAGTATCTTGAATTTCATGAGAAAAGTCAGAAACAATTAGTTTTTCTATTTCTACACTGAATATAATCCTCACATTATTAATAATATTTAATTATCTGACGGCCGTCAGCTCTATCATCCTTCAGACCGAGGTTCTGAACAGAGACGACTACATTTTAGTTTGAAGCCGGCGTTTTTAAAATTAAAAAATCTCTGTCCACACGAGTGTTTTGTCTGCGAATCACTTTTTATCCTCGTCCAAACGAACACACGTCACATGACTCACGTACACAGACGTTTGGTTGTTTGAGAAAAGAGCTCGGCTAAAAACAAGACGCAGCAAAAGTGAAATGTTCAAGTGAGACACGGAGTCCGTGACTCTTGTGATTGATTCTCCACGTTGTCTCTTCTCTGGGAGCTGATGCTGGGTGTTTTATTCTGGGGGGAGGTCACGTGACAGGAGCCTGACGAATCAATGAAGACTACGTCATGACTGAAAAGATCCAATCAGCAAGAAGCTGTGAGCATCTTCATTTTTTTTCAAATCTAAAACCAGCAGCGGCTCCAGAGAGAGGACGCCGGCTCATCTGTAGAAGAGCTGATGTGTTTTCAAACGAGAACAAAGTCGATGGATGAAGACTTCAGATAAAAATCTGAGAAACGAGCTCAAGAGAATCGAGCTCAAGAGGAACGAGCTCAAGGGGAACGAGCTCAAGGGGAACGAGCTCAAGGGGAACGAGCTCAAGAGAATCGAGCTCAGCACTAAGACAAAAACAAGCCGACGTGAACCGAGACGACCTGAGACGACAGATCTCTGTGAAGCAGCTTAACTGAATATTAAATCAAATTTTAAAGATTCAGTTACTGATCAAACTAAGTTCTGTTTGTCCGCTGCCTCCTCCATGTTAGCAGACGGGACATGGCACAAACTAAAAAACAAAGAAGACGTTTGTCAAAGATGGTTTCTGTCATTTCAGGTCATTCTTTTCAAACTGAATATTATTATTATAAATTATAATTGCATTAGTCTGAACAAATCTAGTTTGATTTAAACACAACACTATTTCTACATTTTCTTTCTTCACATCTTCCTCGTTAAAAACTTGTCACTAATGTTTGACTCACTGTTTGTTTCTCAAAGTTTAAATTGACACCTTTACTTTGGAAATCCTAGATTGAGATAATTTTGTCTTTTTGATTCACACGTTTTCTTTTGACAGATTCAAGAAGCACATAAGTTGTTATAAGTTTCATTTCTGTGAATCCAAAATAAAGCAGAACTAAATCTTTACTGATCATTTCCTGTTGTTCTATTTGATTTACAACCAGAGACTCACACAACTATCCACTTTTAAATGCATGTGAACATGTGTAACACGTGTGTGTAAATTATGAAGAGCTCGGAGCCAGAGTTTCTCTCCCATCAGCCCCCAGTCTGCTCTGACATCATCGCATGCTCGCTGTAATGTCATTATCGACGGTCGACAACGTCCACACAACCTCGGCCTTGTTGCCGCGATGTGGTCGTCTTTGTGTTCCACGCTGCTGCAGGACGCCACGTGTTTCCTACAGTAACGTCTCCCTCAGTCTGAGTTAACGTCTCTTGCTCCAGGTGGAAGGAGACGTGTTCACTCGACACCGAGGAACAAACAAAACCCGGCTTCGACATCTCATGATTGAAAAACACGTCTGCAGCGAGGTGCTTTTTTAAAAAGGTGGTTTGAACATACGTGTTAATAATAAATCGATTGTGAACTTGACCCAGTTAGAATCAAACTCCTCCTCCTCCGTTCTCTAAGTTACCATCAAATGTTTTCTCTGTTTAACCAGCTCGTGAATAATTGACGCTGCAAAATGTTTTTTCTCCCAGAGACTCAGCTCAGGATCGAAAAGCTCCGAGTTACTCGACACATTCGTCTTCTCTCCGGAGACTCGTCCCTGGGAAAGTTTCAGAGGCTGCACACGGGGTGATTAAAATATGAAGCCCAAGAGCAAACGAGAGGAGGAGAGAGGGAGCGAGGGATGAAAGATGAAGTGGTTTATAGATAGTGACAAACACAGAGAGAGAAAGAACAGAAAGCGGGAGATGGATGGAAGGAGACAAATGGGTACAGATAGACAGAGAGGAAGAGACAGAGGGAAGAGACGATAACAGAAGAGGGAGAGAGGAAAAGCTATTGAATAATAAATGAATATTTCTGATGAATCGGCCGATAAATCAAATATATACTGAAAAAACTTTGGCCGATGATTCCTAAGAGACTTTATGACAAACAAATGTAACTGACTTTATTTTAAATAACTGTAAATATACAAATTGTTTCTGCATTATTTCGTCTAATACGAGTTTTCCTCAGGTGTTTTTCATATCGACACTGAAAGAGATCTTTATCTTTTATTTTTCCATTTCTCGTCTCTCTCATGTTTTCATCGTCTCATCCCTCCGCAGGCTAAAGGATGACGCTGCTGATGTTTCACTTTCCTGTAGCTGAGATCGCAACAAAAACCAAAGTAGGACAAAGAGAAGAGGGAGTGAAAGAATAAACCCTTTGTTTTCGTGCTGTACGCAGTCGCTCGCCTCTTGTTGAGCTTCAGTTGTTCCGTAAAGTGTCGTCACGCTTCGACTCGCGTCTGTTTTCACTTTGCATCTTTCACTTTCATTTAGAAAACCGTGAAAAACCGTTTCTTCGCTTTAAAGTGAATTTTGACCGAGTGATTTGAAACTGGAAAGTTTAAACGTTTACTGGGAAAAACGTCTGGTTTTTATCTCCTCTCCTCCCCAAGTGTGACAGAATGAGGGAGGCAGGGGGAGAGATGGATAATTGAGGGGGGGGGCGAGCATGTGTAGGATGGAATTGTCACGGTCAACGTGACGGGAGGACGAGGAAGGAAACTCAGCAGAACACGTGTCCCTGCGAGGCTTCGTCCACATGAAGAGACGACCTCACTTTGTGGTTTGTCTCCAGTGGAAACGTGGAGACGGACACAGCGTGTGCTGGTGTCAGACGGGAAGCTGAGCTCCGAGATCAACTCTTTTAAACTCACCCTCAGAGAAACGCACATTAAAGTGATCCAACCCTAGTGACTGCATTAACTGCACTGCAACACACGGATGAAGGAAGCACTGTTTCATTCTCCTTGTGTCAAAACGGTTTTTAAATCCAAAATCCTGAAAATAGTCTGAATAGTCAAATATACGTGAAATGAAATGGTCGGGTTCACAGATTCATCGTTTCTCTTGATATAAATCAGTCAGTTTATCATAAAACATTGAAGACACAACGTAAAACACCTTCTCAGTAAAATGATTTGGGACGCACTGAAACCTCTTCAGAGCTGAATTCAATATTACATTTGTATTATCCGTGCTTTCAGTCAAACATCCATAAAGGCCTTATCGGTCAAACTCCTGCAGAGGCAGGAAGAGAGACGAGGGACAGAGAGAGAGGACAGTGAGACGTCTCATTATCAGTCACAGCTGTCAAGAGAAAGACGTTCAGGGGAAATGAGCCTTTAAATCATAAAAAAGGATTTACCCTCGACCTTCACACTGTTGAACACATAAAACTCACATCATCTGTTTTCACTACAACACGTTCAGATGGAACCAGACTCACTGAGGTGACAAAGAAAATCAAACTGAAAGTGAAACGCAACTAGATGAAATAATTGCGTCGCACTCACAAAACAAATTTATAAAGCTATAGTTTCCTCAATTAGTATAAAAGCTGGAATTTACATTTTTCTATTAAATAAAATAAATAGATAAATATTGTAAAAACAGTCGATGGAATATTACAGGCAACTGACTGAAACTACAACTAATGAGAAACATATGAATAATATACGAGGATTAGTGCACGTACCAATCACAGATAAATCTAACATGGAAACTGAGTAGAGTGATTAAGAGCAGAGTCCAGCAGTGCAGGAGCTCAGAGTCTGGAAATGACCAGAAGAGATTTAACGTCGATAAAATCTTAAATTGATTTTAAAAAAAACTGAACCAGAAGCTGAAAACAGAAGTGGTCACGTCTGAATCCTGCAGCAGCAGAACCACCAGAGCTCCGAGCTGAACCCTGAGTCCACTCTGAAGTGGACTTTCATTCAAAATGGATCAGAGGAATAACGCAGGCGTGTGTATCTCACATATGAATCTACATCCTTCATTCATCAGATCGCTGTTTGTCTACAACGCAAGAGAGGAGGASGAGGAGAGGAGAGGAGGAGGGAGGAAGAGAGAGTAGGAGGAGGAGAGGAGAGGAGGAGGGAGGAAGAGAGAGKAGGAGRCAGTATCTGTTTTCAAAATGACCTGATTTGACGAATTTTACTTGAAAAATCAGCTAATGCTCTAAAAACAGAGAGAAATCTGGGACAGTAACGACCGTTACAGCCGGCGGCCGCAGTCCGTGCAACCGCTGTTTCTCTGTTTTTCTCAGAATGCCCCGACCAACCCTTCAAGCAAACCCAAAATTCATGACGCTGTTCGATCCCCTAGAGAGATGAATGAACCGGGTCTGGCCTAGATACCGTTCTGAGAGAGCTTCAGGGTTGAACACACCGTAGATGACTTAAGCAGCGGGGAGGAAGCTCCGCCTGCGATGTCCGCTTCACGCTCTTCAATAGACGAATTAACCCAGATCTG